AAATTTTTGTTCTATACAAAATTTTCCTAAAATGGTCCGTATTCGAGAAATTTGACAAAATGTAAAAAAATATTTTTTTATAAAAATTGTTCAAACAAAAGTTGTTTGTAATATAATTCTCTATAATTTTTATCCTTTACATAATTTCTCTAAAATGGACCGTATTCGAGATATTTGAGAAAATGTGTAAATTTCGAAATTTGAAGAAAACTCAAAAACGGATAAAGAAAAAAACATTAAATTTTAAACTTAAGGTTTATTTTGGAACATCTGGGGGGGTACTTTATGGGGGGCCGTTTTTATATTTTATGGAATATATCTGTTATTTATGTTTGGAGAAAAAAATTGTTCAAATAATTTCTAATATTATTATCTATAATTTTTGCCTTATGTCAAAATTTCCTGAAATGGTCTGTATTCGAGAAATTTGACAAAATGTGCAAAATTCTGATTTTTATGAAAATTGTTGAAATAAAAGTTGTTTGCGATATCGATCTCTATAATTTTTGTTTATACATTATTTTTCTAAAATGGACCGTAACGGAAAAATTGTAGGAAAAGTGCTAAATTTAAATTTTTTAGTATTTTTATTTCCAATGAATATCTATAGAAAAATGTTTCGAGGTAGATGTATGTGGAAAATGTATATATTTATTTTATCCTCTAAACATTTATGGAGGTGCTGCAATAGGTTGTACAAAATAATCGGAAAAAGCCTATAATAACTAGATAGGAAAGTCATGTGTTGGACACATCAGATTTTTTTTTTATTATTAATAAAAATCAGATACATTTATAAAAGCTAAAATTACTGAGCAACATTTATTTTCATTAACTATTTAGGTATTAAATAATTTTCATAAAGAAAAATAAATATACGTACTAAAATTCAATAGCACAAAATGTTTTTTATTGTTTAAAATGTTTCGGTTTCGGCCCAAGGGGTGTCTCAAGGACTGAATGCAGCTATTATGTATGCAACTTTTTTTTATTAAAAAGAGGACAAATGTATCCAAAAGTGTGATGTCTTCAAGATGAGACAAAGGGCGGATTGCCAAAGGAGGGGAAATGTTTTCATTTATGAGGATGATATATTACTAGTTGTTAAAAAAGATGTATCTAGGCTGGTTATATCTAACTTTAGCAATAAAGGGATGGAACGAAAACCTATGTAAGTATCTTCTGACTAGTAATAAAGTAGTGAGGTAATAACTGTGATTGTGGTAGGTACAGAGTGTATCTTATAGTGGTATCCGAAGTTTTAAGCTATTGCATAGCTTTTATCGCGGACTTTGAGCGCGGCGACCGAATCAAGATATTCCGTAACGAAAATAAACCTAACACCCTTGAAAAATCGAAAGTTTGTGTGCGTGCGACTAGACGTATGCGTGTAGACTAGCTGCTAACTGCTTATAACTGATTCTATCTCTTTTAGACCCAATTTCGGAAAAATTGAATTTGAAAATGAATAATGATCCACAAGAATCCACAACAAAATATGTGACCACCATTGACGCGGTATTTTCCAGATATTTAGAGGATATCAAGTCTCAAACTTATGTTTCTTATTTCAGTTACCATAAACCTATAGTTTCAATGATAAAAATTCCTGAATAACCTACATGTATTGTAAGACAATAAAAATATTTTAAACAATATTAACTTCTCATTTATTCAATAAAAGAAAAAAATTTGTTTTCTTATTGGTCACCACGCTCAAAAAGTATAACGAATTAATATCGAAGAAAAAACTTGAATTAATATCAAAGAAAAAAAAAATACTGCATAAATAAAATAAATAAATAATTATAATTGCATAAGTTGCTAAAAAATGTTACGCGGCAGTCTCCGAGTGCCACACGTATTTTTTTAACTACTTTAAAATCATCTTGAATATTTGTTTTCAGCGTGTGCCAGTTTTTTGACTTGTAATTTATGACAGTATCATCTGCAAAACTTATTATTTCTCCATTTGTATGTAATGTCATTAGGCTATTTATATATAAAGTGAATAGAAGAGGTCCAAGTACAGTTCCTTGTGGAATGCCGTAGGTAACTATTTTTGGACTACTTAAATACTCCATTGATGTTCACGTACTGCGTTCTATTTTTTAGATAACTTTCTAATATATTGTATATTTTTCCACGCAGTCCATAACATTTAATTTTTTTTTTTTTAACAATTTGACAAACAGTGAATTTTTTGTAATAAATGTTTTTTTTTATGGAAATTGGATCCATTACAATTTATTTGGTCACTTTTTGAAGATGACATCATCCAAGTGGCCACCTCCGGACGCCACACACAAACCGGCCCGTTTTTCGGCATTTTCCATCACTTTTTGGAGTGTTTCTCATGGCAGCGATTTCTCAGCCTTAAGTTGTTAGAGAGTGGCTGGTTTATCGGCATAAACCTTTCCCTTCCCCACAGGAAAAAGTCAGGTGCGATCAAATCTGGTGATTGAACCGGCCAGTAGAAATTGCCGTATTTCGATATCAATCGATTCGGAACATGGCACGCAATAAATCCATTGTTATGGCATTTTATGCCGTCTTGCTGCCCATGTCATGTTCGTCCACCTCATTTGACACAAAATCGCATAACATGGCCCGATATCGCTCGCCATTGACTGTTACCGTGGCGCCATTATCGTCTTCGAAAAAGTACGGGCCGATGACCCTTTCAGCGATTTTCATTATTAAATTTCTTGTTCTACTAGATCACATGGGATACGGATATTGTTGAAGACTCAACTACTATCCTAAAAAGCAAAACGCGGATCCAGATTGACCTCAAAACAGCTCCCTGTATACCTTTTTTTATGCTTTGTAGACCATTTTCAAAATTCTGATGTGTGGAATTTTTTTCTGTCATTATTATACTCTTCACATAGTAGTTAGTCTGTGTCCGCACGATAAGTGAAAAACGAAAAACAATATCAATTTTAAAATTTCAGGAAAAATCAAGCTCTATAAGGGGAAGAAGCTTGTTGATTTTGAAGAAAATCAAAATAAAAATTGGGGGTTAAGGGGAATGAAATATTTAAAAACAAAAAATGTTTATCAACAAAAATCAAGCTCTATAAGAGGAAGAAGCCCTTTGATTTTGAAAAAATCTAAATAAAAATGTGGGGTCAAGTGGGGTTAAAATTAAAAAAAAATTATAAACCAAAAAACGAAAAGCGATATCAACATGAAATTTTTAGTAAAAATCAAACTCTGTAAGAGGATTAAGCCCTTTGATTTTGAAAAAAAAATGTAATTAAAAATGTGGGGGCAAATAAAAATTAAGCAGCATGTTTAGATAGCGGAGCCGCTTAATTTTTTCGACCTGTGCCCTAAAAGTACTTTTTAGTAGTTCATTTGTAGAATATTTAAAAGTTCTCCTTTTCAATTATGTTTTCTGTCTGAAATAGGACGTTTTATTTCACATTCGAGTAAAAAATATATTTTTTGTAACTTCTAATTTTTTATGGTTCATATTCATAGAAAAAAATAGTTCATATTATTCAACATCGTCTTGCATCAACTATTTTTATGCACGTCATAGTCCGTAATAGACACATAGTTGCTGGTAGACAATATTAGATTCGGAAGCATACATAATACCATGGTATGACACTGACAGTGATTCGTATTCGTGATCTGAAATCACTTGATTCGAATCCTTTTTTTTTGTAATTCGAATCACATCTCGTGATTCGGATTCGTGATTCGAATCTATTTTTTTGAGGATTCGTCACAGATCTGACTCGTAGTCATTACTCGTCAGCTGTAGGAATAAGAAGTACCTACTCTAAAACTAGTGATGCCGCGAGACGAGACGAGAGAGAGGCCTCTCTCGTCTCGTAGGGCGAGAGAAAACTGTTCTCTCGTCTCGATGAGAAGGCGCTTCTCTCGCTCGAGAGAGCCATTCTCTCGTCTCGTCTTGTCTCGTCTCGTTTCTCTCGTGACAAAAACATATCAAATTTAAATTTGGAAAAGATATACTTAGGACGAAACATAAAAAAACTGTAAAAGTTTGAAGACAATAACAAATAATTTTTCAAGTAATTTGTCTCATCAGTACCCAAATTGGCAATAAGAAACACTCAGGGAAATTACCTTGGTATCTGTCTGCCTGTTCATTTGTCACAGATTATCCCTCTGGGTCCTCAGAAGGATATACAGCAAAGCATGGGGATCAGTCCATAACTGACCTATTGGATTTACCAAACAATTGTAAAACCCATGGTTATGTACGGCTTCTTCGTCTGGTGGGACAAGGAACTTCAACAGATGGCCAGAGCAAAGCTAGCTGAAATCCAGCGGCTTGCGTGCCTCGTCATTACTAGGGCAATGTCAACCACATAGACTGGAATCACATTTTGCTAAAAAGGGAAGCTAGAATGGTCTCCTAGCCTCTAAAGGTGGGTAGTCAATGAGTGAGATTAGAAAAGCTAGGTTCCAGCTCTTCGGATTCACCAGACTGGAGCCTACAGATTTTAACAAGTCTCGCCGAATTCAACCATGGCCTTCATAAATAAGTGTTGGCTTGTGAGATATACGTAATTTAGTATTACCCTGTATTTGTATAGTAGTTGGATAGAGACGTCATGCGTTAAGTTGTTGTCATTGTCATGAGAATTTTAAAACAAAAAATATTTATATTTTCATTGATTCTGGATCATTTCAGCTTGTAAGATAAACTATAAGTTAGACATGAGCCACAATAGATCCATCTGGTCAACAGTGGAAGGCGAGGAGATTTTCCCTCTCATTTTCAATCTAACCTACAGATCTTTTTGATATCGTGTGAATTAGACTATTATTATAGCGATTTAAGGTGATTTTTGAATATACCAATTATTAAGAATGGAGAAAGAAGAGAACGAAATAATACCAATGATGTAATATTGATATTGCTTACTGAAATACATAAAACGAAAATCTATGAAATGGCTTAGAAAACAATATGGAATGGAGAAAGTAGTAAACTGTTATGTAAATCGTATTCTTACCTGTAAGACCAATAACGTATGGTATGTTCGGAATGTTAGAATTTTTTTGAATCGGCTTCAATACTGTTCCCAATAATCTCATTCTTGTCGTGCTAGAACTTATCTTTGCCTCCTCAAGTGGATTCGGATTGGGTTCATCTACTAATTCTACAGGAAGAATATCCAAAGGAGGCAAGTTTCTTTCTCTTCTGACTATATAATCAAATATATTTTTAATTAAATCACTTTTGCAAGAGATGTTTTAATAACTATTATGTTGCAGAATGTATAAACACTAGTTCTTTAATGTAATTAACAATTTAGAAATAAAATGAATGTTTGAATTAATTTTAATAATTTTTAATCTAAAATCCTTACTTAAATTAATTTTTTCTCCTCCTTTGAAGGTTTCTTGGCTTACTACAATCAATTCCATAGTAGGATCAGTGATAGCTGGACCAAATGGGTCTGATATAGGAACAATGTTATAGTTCAATTCAGGACAAATATCACACAAAAAATCTCTAACATTGTTTATCCTCAAATCAGTGTCTTCTATAAATTCCCATAGTGTTTTCGAGAAGAGCATATTTTCTTCAGTTACGCCTACCTTGAAAATTTAAACGGCAAATCAATATGTAATGCATTTGTTAATGTAATTTACTACCTAGAACTAGAGATGTTGGGTCCGATTACAATAACAAAAAGAACACTGATGAGTCATTACTGCACTCACGCCAACCAAAAAATACAACAAACGTTAACAATCAACAACAACATTATTACAAATCCACAACAACTAGAACAAATAACTCAAGATTTCATTAAAGTCGTACAAAAAGCTAGAGACGACTCGACAAAAATAAAAACTACCACCCCACACAAAGACAAACTGCCACCTGACATCACTGAACTGATAACAAACAAAAACCAAATACGCAAAAGGTGGCAGACGTACAGGAGAGAAGAAGACAGGGTACGTTTGATGGACATTGCCAAGTACACAAACATGAAAATTAACGAATATCGAAATAATGTCTGGCAAAAGACCCTGTCTGAAATCAATCCTAGAGACAACTCATTGTAGGGGGTTGTGAGAAGGTACAAAAAACCTAACTCGCAACTTCCTACAATGAAACAAGGACAAGACGTACTCACAACGGACAACGAGAAAGCTCAAGCCTTCGGTGAACACTTTCAGGCTAACTTCACGAATAACCAAATAAACAATGCTCGACATGATAGAATCGAAAGATTAGTTAACAACCTTAAGGAAACAGGTCCAGTTCACGTACCTCACTCTTTTTACACCTCTCCTAAAGAGGTGGTGGAGACAATTACAAAAATAGAAAAGCTCCAGGACCTGATGACATCAGTAACATCCTAATTAAAAACATACCAAAAAAGGGGGTAGTACAGCTCAACTATATAATAAATGCAATTTTCAGGCTGCAACATTACCCAAGCTGCCTGAAAATTGCAAACATAATACCGATATTAAAGTCAGGCAAAAGCCCAAACAAAATCGAAAGTTACCGGCCCATCTCGCTGCTAAACACATTATCAAAAGTAGTAGACAAAATAATTTTAACGAGACTTAAGAATACAGAAGACCAACTACAAATTATCCCTCAGGAACAGTACGGATTCAGAAGCGGACACAGCACCGTTGCACAGATTATTCGTATAGTTCACCATGCCAAAGAGGCCACAAATGTCAACAAGCAAACGGTGCTAGTGGCGCTGGATAGCGAAAAAGCTTTTGATTCCGTCTGGACCTGTGGGTTAATTCACAAAATGCTTGTGAATGATTTTCCGGTTCACATTGTAAAAATAATTCAATCCTACATAACTGACGGACGATTCAACGTTAAAATAAACAACACTACCACAGGACCTTACACTGCGCAGGCGGGTGTACCTCAGGGCTCAGTACTGTCGCCCCACTTGTACTCCATTATGACCCATGACATACCAATGGGTAATAATGGGGTACAAACGGCACTGTACGCCGAAGACATCTGCCTCTTCAAAAGCAATCACTCGGCCGAAAATGCAGTCAGGTCACTGGACATTCATATTAACAGAAGGTTAATCCCCTATCTTAAGAAAAATAAAATGAATATCAATGCAAATAAAACTGAAAGTATGCTAATTACAAAAAGGAGATCGAGGGGTGTCAATACACCCTTAAAAGTTGCAAATGACGAGACTGTAACGAGCAACAAAATGAAGTACCTAGGTTTCGTATTAGATGGAGGGTTAACGTTCGACCAACACATAAAGGATAGAGTAGCCAAAAACCATGCGGCCATTAAAACCCTCTACCCAATCCTGAATAGGAAAAGTAGAGTAACACAGGCAAACAAGCTACTCATGTATAAAACAATCATAAGACCAATCCTGACATATGGATGTCCAGTGTTTTGTTCTATGGCCAACACTCACTTCAGCAAATTACAGGTAGCACAAAACATATGTCTGAGGCTAGTTCTGGGATACGACCGCTATGCCAGAATTCTCGACATGCACAGACAGACATACCCTTAATTAAAGACAATATTCTCGATACAGCCGAAAATTTCTATAAGCGATGCCTTCCCGATAGTGAGGGACGATATCCTAAGCATATATCTGGGCGACAACGTGCGTAGGAAACACGGCTGTATCCACGCTAAACTAGACATTTACAGGAACAGAAATAGACAATAACATCCTCCCTAACTGTCCCAAACAATACTAAACAACATTTCACACCGACTAGATATTCGCGCAATTCAGTCGGACGGAGGATTGATCGGTGAACCGGCCAACGGTGAAGCGGACGCGAAACTCACAATTTCGCGACTGTTACGCCGAGGAACCAACGTGCTTCCCCTTTAGTGGACAAACACCCAGCACAATTGACATAGCTATGACAAAAAACATTAACAGTGTACATAACATCTTAACAATCACGTACTAAACTCGGACCACGACCCAGTTTACCTAGAACTCAGAACAAAAACAAACATACAAAGATACAACGGACAATACTATGACCACAAGACAACAAACTGGGCAAAATACAGAGAAATACTGGACAAAAATACTGTAATAAACAATAACATCACCACAACGACAGAGCTAGACAATGAAGTTGACAAATTCACAAAGAACATCATAAATGCAAGAGACCAAACGACAGACATCAAACACATTAAAATGCATCACGAACACCTCACAACTGAAATACAAGACATGATAACAAACAAAAACAACATACGTAAGAGATGGCAAAGAAACAGACAAAGCGACGACAGACTCAGACTCTTAGACATTTCAAAAACAATAAATGCCGCAATTCGAGACCTAAGAAACAAAAAATGGACTGACATTCTACGTGAACTAAAACCGCAAGACAACTCTTTATGGAGGGTTGCAAAGCGGTATAAGAAACCGTCTATGCAACTTCCCATACTTGAGGACAATAACGGACAATACATAACTGACACACAAAAAGGGGAAGCACTTGGGGAATACTTCAAAAGTAATTTTACAAACGATTCGGTAAACAATGTAGAGCAACAAATAATTGAGGACGTAGTAGAGGACATTAGGCTCCTCCCTAAAGAATCTGTGCCGACCAATCAGCTGGTCACTCCTAAAGACGTGAAAATCGCAATAAACAAAATTAAAAATAGAAAGGCACCGGGCCCAGACGGGATAACAGGCCTTATGCTTAAAAATATTACGAAGAAAGCACTCGTGCAACTACACTACATAATTAACGCGATATTAAAGCTCCAACACTACCCGAAATGCCTAAAAATCGCAAACATAATTCCAATCAGGAATCACGGTAAACCTGCGAAAAATATTGAAAGCTACCGCCCCATATCCCTACTAAACACACTTACAAAAACAATCGACATCATACTTCTTAATAAACTACGCTTAATAGAACTAGACAAACAAATAATCCCACAGGAACAGTACGGTTTCCGCGAAGGACATGGTACGATTGCACAGGTGATACGCATTGCGCATCAAGCTAAAGAAGGCTTCAACAATAAAAAAGCAACCGTACTTGTCGCCTTGGATACTGAAAAGGCGTTCGATACTGTCTGGACCTGTGGGCTTATCTACAAAATGTTTATAAATGAATTTCCCATTTATATTGGAAAAACGATTCAATCCTACCTACAGGACAGAACATTCCACATTAAATTAAACAAAACATTAACAGGACCATTTAATGCAATGGCGGGGGTACCTCAGGGTTCAGTACTTTCGCCGCATCTGTACACAATTATGACCCATGATATGCCCATGGGTACTAATGGTGTACAGACGGCACTGTACGCCGATGATACTTGTGTGTACAAAACTTCGGAGCTGGCTGAAGTAGCGAACAGGAGGCTTGACATACATATTAACCGAACGTTGGTTCCCTATCTAAAGGCGAACAAGATGAAGTTGAACGCTGCGAAAACCGAGAGCTTGACTCTTACTAAATGTCGAAGGGGTAGATCCCGTATAATTTCCAACAAGCTAAAAATAGGAGAGCAAGTGATCGAGTCACAGCGTTCAATAAAATATCTTGGGGTGCGCTTGGACGGGGAACTGACGTTCAGGCAACACATTGAAGATAGGGTCGTCAAGGCCAATGCAGCAATAAGAACTTTATATCCCTTACTTAGAAGAAACAACGGGTTCAGTCGTGATAATAAGCTGCTTATATATAGGCAGATAATCAGGCCTATCTTAACTTATGGATGTCAGGCCTACTGTTCCATGACGGAAAGTCACTTCAATAAGCTCCAGGTAGTGCAAAACAGTTGTCTTAGGCGTGCACTGGGGTGGCTCCGCTATTCCAGGATAACGGACATGCACGCAGAGACATCCATGCCCATGATAAAAACATATATTATGAACATTTCCGAAAGATTCTACAAAAATAGTCTTCCTCCGAATGTGAAGGAAGACATATTTAATATAACGGAGGCCAATAGCGCGCATAGAAAGCATGGATGTCTCCACAAAGCATTGACAATCTACAGACAAATTTGAGACTTAATACACACGAAAACATACACAGACTGTGCCCTGTGACAACAAAACTAATTGTACAAATTCAAGCCGGCTAGACGAAAAATCTGGTCGGACGGAGGACTGCACGGTGAACCGAAAATCGAGTCGGCGATATTTTTCGCTGCTTCGATCGACGGTAACACCGTGTAATCCTCGAATTTGTACAAATTAGCCATACACTATACGGACAAACGGACATTACAAAGACAACCCTGTTTTTTCATAGCCTTTTTCAGGGAAAAATTACAAAACTAACGACAGACAAAACTACACGGAGTTAAGTTCCATTATCGACGCAGACAATATAATCACAACTGCCATATTATATCTATCGGGTAAGGAGATGGCACCTTATAACTCATATTTGTAAGCATCTTGCATCAGTGATTGCGGTACGAGACGTCGCCCATACTTCTCCTGTCTAGGCTGGAGAACAGAGGCGTAGTATCTTCGAAGACGTGCATTAATGTAGATGTGAAATTACTTATGTAAATATTGTAAATAAAATTATTCATTCATTCGCGACTGTTACGCGGT